TAATTAATTACCATTTTTATCGATGCCTTATGGATTTTTCTTCCTAACTCTATAATGGTAGCTTTGATAGCTGAATACGTTACACACTGGCTCTAAAAGCTCTGAAGAATACCTTCCTAACGAAAACTGGTAATTAAACTTTAACTGAGATACCTAATTAAATTTTAATATATATATTTAAAAAGCAGGTTTAATGGCATGTGGGTGGCATGGTGACTCAATGGTTAGTGCTGTGGCCTGACAACCCCCCAGTAGGGGCATTCGGTTCCTGACCCTGACAGATCTCCCTGTGCTCCCCCCCCCCCCCCGGTATTCTGATTTCCTCAAATAGTCTAAAGCGGTATTTTCCAACCCAGTTCTCGGGGACTCCCATGTTTGGATGTGGACTGTCTGGGGGTCCGCAAGGACCGGGATGGGGAACACTGTTTTAAAGCAGTGCGGTTTAGGTGAGTTAGTGATACTAAATTGTTGTGACAGAGTGGCATACTGTCCTGTGCTTCCTGGCATAAATGAAGCAATGCTTTATTTGCCATTTGCACAAGTACATTACAGTGCTTATTTTCACACGTAGAATCTTAATTTCCTTTGAGACATAAACACATATACTCAGTTGAAAGTGAAGTTTGGATTCCAAGACTGGGGTCCAATCTGGCCCTGGAGCCCAACAGTGTAGGCAAAAATTATTTGCACACTGTGAAAAATGGTCAAAAAAAGACATGAAATTGAGGATATTGAACTTTAAAAATGGTATAAATGTTTCAATTATGTGTGCTATGTAAAGAAACAAGTACATTTATTCAAAACATATTCTGGAAATGTTTTCAAATTATGTAATTTATTGCCTTTTTTTGTACACCTGGCCATTCATAGAAGTGAACAAATATGTGACAGCGGGAGGAGTTCCCAGTCATAATAGACCCATAATTAATTAATAATTAGAGTCATAACACAACACATAACAGCAGATGTTCCAGATAGCCAGGTAATTGGGAGCCCTTTGTTTGTACAAGTGGCCTTGGTGGTCATTCTCCACACAAGCATTTGTAGGGTTAGTTGAGTTTCCCAACATGAGTAAAACTGCTGAAATACCAAATGCACTGAGGAAATGAGTCATAAAATTTCACAATCAATATCCTCAATTTCATTTCCATTTTTGACCATTTTTTTCCACAGTGTTCAACTAATTTTTGGCTACACTGTATATTTTGTGTTTGTATTCTACTGCCAAAGTTTAACCAGTTCAATGAAATTTACCATTAAGTCTGGACAAATTAGTTACGGGAAAATTATTAAAAATTTAGTTTTCGTTCTTGTGATTAGCTGATGCAGATTTAACTTTAATTTGCACATGGCTTTTCATCCAAATAAAAAGCTTGCATTATATTATTAAATTCCAGGTATGTTGCTCTCCAAATCAATACAGGAAGAGAGATGTGGAGCGCATGGTGATTTACAGGAGATAGTAAAATGTTTCATCATCCAAAAGCTGGACCATCTCATCCAGGAATGAGAACAAAGTTTCCTCTTTGTCTCCACAAACAGTGTTTAATAGCTGTTATAAATTTTGCCATAAATGTCACTGCAAGGTACGTTTTTGTGCCTCGAGTTTATCTGCCAAAACTGGCAGAAGTATCCCACTAGGCAATTTCTCGTAGTCTTGCCATATCGGCGGCTTTTTACAACCCTCTGAAGAGGACATGGCCTCGCTTTATTTGCGGGATTTAACGCTAAACTGTTGTGAACATTTGGGCCTGTCAGCTAAACATGAAAAACAACACTTATTAATAGATGGACACCATCCAGTCTCTACAATATGACCTTCTGAATTAAAAAAAAAAAGTCCTGAACTCATCCTGACAATAAAAACAATACAGTAAGTTCTATATAAAAAAAAACAGACTACAGATATTCCAAAGGTTACATCTGAAACACACTATATACTATAATACTTTTTTTCCCTTTAGAACATTTATTGTGTTCCATATTCTAAAAGCGGGCATATTATAATTGCAGTGTGAGATTAAGAGCGCTTGAAAGCCAGACCTGCTCTTCGGCCTTCTGCACACTTGTCTTCATTCAGAAAACGATTCTCCTAATGTAGACTTTTAACACCGTAGGGTTAGAAAAAGGTCTTAAATACTGGGAGCTGAAGGGTGCTATCTGTCTTAATGAAACAGCATAACACATGGTCAAGATTTACCAACCAACTACTATTTTACAAGGGATGCACACATTGCTTTCCTCCAAGTAATGAAATTGAACAACAAAGATGTCAAAAGAGCATTTAAAGTGGTTAGTCCCTTTTTTTTTTAATTAGGCCAGCTTTTGTCCATCACAATAGTTGGTTTTAATGAGCTGGGTAACGGGAGAATATTCTCTAGTTTCAAAAATTGCCTTTGTAAGATTGAAGCGGGCTGTACATGTTCTACCTGCACCACATCACCTCAAGATGGCCACCCTATGGTAAACACAGGCCTGTACCTCATTGTTACCCTTCCCACAATCCCATAATATTCTTGTGTGCTTTTAACTTGCATTACTGCCAAATCAGCTGTCTTTAAAAAACATATTTTTAGGACATGCACTGTTAAGTTTTTAAGCTTCTTATGATTGCCCTTCAAGCTGTTAATTTTTTCAGTCCTGTCTCATACTTCTCAAGAAGACATCAGAAGACGACAGCTAATAACCAAGCTGTGGGATTGCAGTTCCCCAAGGGAGGAGATTATCTCAAACTTAAAGCTAATGGACAATAAATTTATTTTTCACAAAGCTTAGTAGCACTCCTAAGTGAAAGACAAACGATTCATCTTTGCATTCCTTCTAAGCGTTAACTGCAACAAATGTTACGAGTGAGTGGAGATGCTTCTTATTATACATGCAGAAAGGCTGGGGGAGAGTTTCAGGTTTTTAGACCTGGAGGTTAGCTCTGTTGTCATGCTGGTTGGGCATCCTACGGCCTTGTTACTCAGCAGGAAGATATTGAAGGAGTATTAGTCCAAGGGGAAGAGTTATTTTTCAACAAAAATGTATCCCTATGGTGTTATACCTATAAGTTTACATTTATATATTATTATTTTATAATATTTAATTCAGGGAACTCATGTATGTATTTTTCATTCACTGAAGTGGACATTTTATCTAAAGAAATCGTGCCTTGTTCTTTGTGTGTGTATGTGTGTGTGGATTAGGTTTATTTTGACGTTGTGGGGACCATTTTTAAGGTCCCCACAAAGATCTGTGAATGCAGTCAAAAAGCTAAAAATGCCAGAAATTAATGGAGAGTCCCCACAAAGATATAATTACATACCTGTGTGTGTGTGTGTGCGTGTTTATGTTTGCAGGCAGCCCAGTGTGAATGGGAGCTGGGTCTCGTTTTTGGTATAGTAGTTATGTGCCCCCTTGTGGTGGCTTCAGTGTATAACAGAACATCATTTCTGTTTCCTGTTTGAGGGAAATGCTCAGAAAATTGCAGGGCTGGTTCTCACATCATGCCATTATTTTCCCAAACACTTAGTAAGGAAAACTTTTCAACTGAAGCATCATTACACAAGCATAATACATTGAAAGCTTAATGAATAGCCTTTTGTGGGCATGTAAGACATCTGATTCTAAATATGAACCCAATACAGTATAAATAAACTTAAGTCAGGCATGGACACACTACACAAACACCTGGCCTACTTCAATGCAGATTTAAATTTCATTTCTTATTCATCTGCTATGACTTTCCATTTATTACATTTGTCTTTTTAGCAAAAGATTCAGGTCCCTTGGGAATGACATTTTAGTCCATTTGCCTGGACTAAACTGATACTGTGCGCGAAGTGTAAAAGAACACATTTGCATGCCAAAAAAATGACATAAAAATCCTCTGGGACCCCTTTGGATGGAGGTCTTGAATAGGAAGTGTAACAGAATATGTCCAGCAATTTCCTTGATAAAGTCAGCCGATCATTGAGACAAAAAGAAAAAAATATATTTTTAACCAATCATCTGCCTGTAAGCTCAGTCAGGACAGTCACATGGTGCTGAATGTGGACACCATTTTATGAGGATGGCCGAGTTGGCGAAACCAGAGAGTGGGGCCATAAACTATTCATCTCATGGCCCTCTCGGGTTTGCAGGAGTCTGTTGAGATTTCTGATACTATCAGCTTTCGTTTGACACCAGGAGGTACATTAACATTAATCCACGGAGTACTGGAATCACAGCAGCTCAGGTTCTGTACCATTACAGTGTAATGGAGTGGAGACAGACAGCCATGTTCTTCCAGAGCTTTGAGTATATTCCAAGAAATCTAACTGAACAGTGACGACTATGTCATCCTAAAGTCGGGGAACTGCTTTTTAATAATTGCTTTTAAATAATAAAAATTATTTATTTTTAAATCATTTATTATATTTCAATATCCCAGATTTACGTTACAGAGGCAAGGGAAATTTTACTGCGATCCAGTGAGTTCACTATACAGAACTGTATTTACTCTGCTCTGAGGCTCCCAAAGGCGATATTATGGCCTGTATCTCTTTAATTGTTCTTTGTTCCACAGGAGTCTGACAAAGCCATCCTCTCTGCCAAATCAGGCTATGCGTGTGCGGCATTTCCACCCCCGGTGACACCAGCATGGCCTGCTGGTGACCTTCTTCAGAAGTTTCATGAACTTCTTTCCAGCTCTGGCTGAGGATTGTGCAGCAGGGAATCTCTGCTGAATAGCACAGGCACTTATAAAAAACAGTCTAAAGTGGGAAAAAGAAGAATATGGTTCAGGTTATAAAAAATAAATTAAATTTCAATTTTAAAGCATTAAAATTACAAGCCTCGAACCCTCTGTGGCATGGCTGGGATACCAAACAGATGGTTTTAAAAAATAATGAGCTGTATTAAATGTTGAATATTCAAGTATAATTTGATGCCAATGAACCAAAAGGGTGAAAATGTAGCAAATGGATGTGACACCAGAAACCTCCCTTACTGCAGCTCCTGATATAAGCTAAGATTACTGTGGTTATATACTTGCCGTAGAAGCTGTTAATAGTCTGGTCGATCCAGCTCCGATACTGGGAGACAGCAGTGTAGACGCCTGGATATTTGGCACTGGCGCAGCTGTTCCCCCAGGACACCACACCGTAGACACGGCCCTCACAGACCAGGGGTCCGCCAGAGTCGCCCTGAGACGACACCACAAATCTCTCAGAGTCACCATCTGTAAGGCCTAGGGCAGTCACCCCCAACACAGGATAGAGTTACAGACAACTCATACTTAAGAATTCCTGCTACAAAGCCTATTATACAGCATTAAAGGTTTAAGCTAAATAAAATTGTTCGTAATAACGAATTTACGTGATGCTCATGAAAATATTGCGCAACTTCAGCATCATGATCTTTTTTCCTTTTTTCTATCTAAATTGTTTTAAGAACAATTTGTTTTTATAGTAACGTCTACCTACACACTGACATACATAGATTCACTCTCTCTTCCTCTCTCTCTTCAGTATAGTACTGTACAGTATGTTGTTACTTTAATTATTACTGTATTCTTATTATTATTATTGTTATTATAATCGTTGTTATTATTATGTACTGTATTACTTTTTAGAATATTTGGAAGTGTTTTTTATGTATGTTTTGAATCAGAAGTTAAAATATATATTTTATACTGAAACAAACATTACATTTTTTGAAAACGCCAAATACGAACCATATGTACCTGTTCCGACTTACTTACAAATCCGATGTAAAGACAGACTCAGGAACAGATCTTGTTTGTAACCGGGTGACTGCCTGTATAATTAAAAAGCTACTCATACACTTAGCCCTTGGTTTACATTTTATTTACTTAGCAGATGCGTTTGTCCAAAGTTACATGCATTTTTGAGAAAGCAGCGTCAGATGGGGGTTCGGGGCCCAATACTTAAATCACTCTGCCGACCAGAGGATTTGAACCAGCAACCTACTCATACTAACAGTGTATTGTGTCATCTAAATAAATTGTGTCAACAGAGGCCTGCTATATTATCATAAACGTTCTGCTGGGTGAGGACATTGACTAGTGAATTATATCATACGATGCGACTTATACTAAGATAGTCTCATCGGCTTATAAGAGTTTTTACTTCCAAACATGGTCATACAGTTTTGAGATTTTGTGACTGGGTGGAACAGGTCCGAACCAATCCATTCAAGTTATAGATTCCATTCCAGTACTAAATATGTGTAACTTCCTGATAATCTCCCATTAAAGTCATGCTTTTGGCCTGTGATTTGCAGCTCTTGCTCCTTTCCCACTGTCCTTCACTGTATTTCCTGCTTCATGCTGTTTCAATGATGCAGCCAAGACAGAATAAATGTATCACTCCAGCCTTGCTCCACAAAGTAGTATATTCAGTAGTACACTATAAAATGTATATTATCTTGTTAATCACTGATAAAGCTCTATAATTGGTGGTATGTGTTCTTTTCAAAGTGTTTTGTCATTTTAATGTCCTGTCTTTAGTATGCTTCTGGCGAATGGCATCTATCAAATGTATCTATGATATCATGAATGAAAATGTCCTTTCATTGTGTTTCTCTAAATGACTGCTTCTTTTAAACATATTGTAAAGTTATTCATTTCATTATTCAAATAAATGCATTCATAACTACTGTTCACAATACCCTTACAGTGAACACAATGCATAATACAATGCAAAAATTTCCCCACAAGCAACCAACATATAACGAGTAAATTTCTAAAAGTCATTCAGCCCATTTTTTGTTGTTCTGGACAAGGGTTTAGATTTGAGTACGGATGGTAGGAACATGTCTGTACCAATATTGTGGGTAGTGAGTATTGTTTAGGGGGGATCAGGGTTGGTTTGGCCCCTACTATCTGAAATAAAAGCTATACCCTTGTTTTTGGAGATGAGGCCACCAAATAGCCTAAAGTCTGGCTTCCTCATTATATGCTACAGTATTGGAATCCAAAACTACTCAGTCATCATGTAAGCGATCAAAGAACTTACGTTAAATTTCTAAAGTCTTTGAGTTTTTGAAAAGCACTATATAAATAAAATGTATTATTATTATTATTATTATTATTATTATTATTACTATTATTACCATTGTTGTTATTAAGTCCTCAGAAATTTTCTTGAAAACGTATTCCGTGGACTGGATGAATTTTCTATGTTCTTCAAATGGTGAAAGAAACAAAATCATGATATATTGAGAATTAAGAGATTTTTACATTTGGACTTTTGTAAGACCAATTGTGAGTCCCCTCCTACCTTACAGGCGTCTTTTCCCCCCGCAGAGTATCCAGCACATATCATATTAGCCGTGATGTTACCCCCGAAGGACTGGCTGCTGTTGCAATGGACAGCAGAGACGATAGGAACCTTTACGGTACGGAGGGTGGCAGGGATCTGGGCCCCAGTGGAGCTGGTGTAGCCCCAGCCAGAGACCCGGCAAACTCGCCCCTCTGACACCGAGGCTCCTTGGCGTGGCAGGGGGGCCACTGTCACAAAGCTGTTTAAGTGCACGGGGACCGTTAACTGGAGAGGGGAGAGCAAGCAGGCAACTCAGGTGACATCTTCTCTGCGTCGATGGCGTTACAGCAATGTTACGACAGCATTATGACCTGCCTGGGTCAATTTCCAAGTGCAGGACACGGTCAGTAGTTTTCATTTACACTGCGATATGTGTGGATGTATTTGCATTTCACAGACTCATTCGGTCATTGTTTGCATATTATCGATCTATAAACCGGCTTCCATTTGCTGACAGGATTTGTAAATCTTTGTATTTACACTTAGCAGTGTTTTCTGTGCTTGTATTGAGTGATTCCATTCTTCTAAGGAGCACTTTTAAGCCCCTGGAGTGACTCAGATGAGTCTGACAATGAAACACTGCTGGGTTGTAAGTATGACAGCTTTGATCACAAAGTGCACCTCAATATGGTGACATGTCAGGCCATCTGTTTTGATCAATCAAAAGTTGATCCTAAGAAAGCATTACAATGTGGGTGTACATATGGCGATGCCTTCAGAATATCATGCACACAACCTGATAAAAGCCATATAACACAACCTAAGAGCAAACTACGAGTCCATGTTTCATAGCCTTCATTTCTGCGATGACCTACTTCTCATTCTCTACATTAATAAGAATGACATCTTTTCATGACCTTACAGGTTTATCTCCCACCCTTATGAGCATGATGTCTGCGTTGTTGGTGCTCTTGTTATACTCTGGATGGGGAACCAGGAAACGTGGAGTAAAGAATTGCTCTGTTCCTTCATACACTGACAGGGAATAGTCTCCTGCCACAATGACCATCTGGCTGGACCTAGGAGGAAAAAAGAGCTATTTTGTACCCCCAACCCAAATTAAATATGTAGCATTCGGCTGAACGAAACATTAAACCCTTTGTTCCTACTAAACCATTGCTCTTTTCTTTGATGTCTTTTAAGGGGAAATAATTTATTCTTGGCTGAACCAAAAGTCAGCTTTCATTTCTGAGCTGTATGTAACTGCTGGTCTTGGCTTTTGTGATCTATTAGCTCCCCTTGTTACATTTCCCCTCTGTGCATTTCCCCTCAGTACATTTCCCCTCAGTGCATTTCCCCTCAGTACATTTCCCCTCAGTACATTTCCCCTCAGTACATTTCCCCTCTGTGCATTTCCCCTCAGTACATTTCTTCTCAGTATATTTCCCCTTGGTGCATTTCCCCTCTGTGAATTTCCACTCAGTACATTTCTCATCAGTACATTTCCCCTTGATACATTTCATTTCCCCCGGGTACCTCTCCCCACAGTACATCTCCCTCGCTAGATTTTGGCACCCAATTGAGGTTCCCCACAGTACATTTGTCACAATTAACCGGTTGCAGATGCAGATAAAATTGATTTCTTTTCATACTATTTCTTTTTACAATTTGATTAACATTTTCTGAAACTCCTCTCACAACCCCCCTCCCCCACCAGTGTCTCTGCAACCCCCACTTTTTGGACCCCTGTACTGGCCTTTAAGTGGGATGAAGCTTGCAATAGATTTTGGCACAAGCCTTCTTTTGAGACACTGCAGACACATTCTCCAGAAAGGTTTCTGTGCCTGTTACTAACTAGAGTTAGGGGTCTGAAGGTGAGACAGTGAGCCCTTTAAGTATGAACATGGAAGGGGTTAAGGGCATAAAGTCATCCTTGTTTTATGTCCCCTGTGCTTCAGATGGAAGGCTGACAAATAATTTGTTGTTGAAGGAGCTACCAGAGATTCTGCTGATAGAGCTCAGTTAGATTACAGCAGGTTGTGTCTGGTGAATTTTACAGTGTTCTTTTGTGGTTTTATGAAATGGTTCTGCACAAATTTAATGAAGAGGCATATGTCTCGTGAACACCCCTTTATATATTAGTGTCACTCAAAATCTTCACTAAAATCAAGTAGACCTAGTATAATTCTATTATAAAAAGCAATGGAAGTTAATGACAAGGTTAGATACAAGCAGCAAAGCAGTGACACAGCAAATACCTTCTATTACAAGCTATATAAGCCATAACATAAGAAGTGCCAGCAAATAAATGATGTAATTCTGAAAATATTGTAAAAGCCCTAATGTAAAATATTGAATATTGAATTGCATCCACTGAAAATGCACATAAGTAAAACTTGCAGCTCACCCGATGTTACAATGTGCTGCCGTCAGCAGCCAGTACTTGTTGATTAAAGATCCCCCGCAGAAGTGCTGCCCTTTGTCATTCTGTATTGACACCATGTATTTGATGGAATGGGGTGCTGGGGCGTATCCTCCCACTATGCGGCTCTGCATGAAGTCATAGCCTGGAGCAGAAAGGGAAATGGACAACTTGGTACCCAGGCAATGTGATCGATGGTCAAGAACAAGATAATGACATCATTTTGAATCAGATTTGACTTTAAGCTAAAGACCGCATTAGCCGGACTAAACTGACTAATATCTTCTGAACAAATAAAATGAACTTTCAGCAGAATGTGAAAACATACCATTCACATTCTCCTCAATGAAAACACATACTTATTCAGTTTAAATTCAAAAGGTAATGAACTTGTTATAGGTCTGTGAAACATGTACATTAGAGCACGGTACTACTAATAAGTAAAGTTATACATAGTTTGTTCACTTCCATGAAGAGTGCCTGTGTATGGCTTGTGTAAGACACTCCTATTTATTAATGAAATCTGCAGTTTCTTTCTGGATTAACAAAGTGCCTATCTATCTATCTATCTATCTATCTATCTATCTATCATCTATCTATCATCTATCTATCTATCTATCCCTCCTCCATCCTTAAATGTTCCTAGTTTATTCCATTACAGGCAGCAAACATATCAAACTCATTTATATTTAATAATCCATTGCTTTCACCAATAACTGTCACCCCTATTTCCCTACAGCCACATACATGAACAGTTACATCATCTCACTTTCCTCATGTCATATGTCTTTCCTTTCAAAATAGTCTTTTTAGCTTTTGAAAAAATGTTAAGGCGTTATATGGTTCTGTGGGTATAGCTCTGATCCAGCTTTTACTAAACTTTTACAACAATTAATGTCCTGTCTTGTGAGAATGTTTTCTTGGCATATTCGGCCGCCTTGGTCCCCATAGTGCAGATTGGGTCACTGTCTGCCTATCATAGTAAAAGTCACAATTTTACACACTAGATTTATAGTGACAAGAACAAAATGGACAAATGGACAAATAGCAAAAGTTAATAAAAATAGGCTTGTTTCCCCTCAGTACATTTCTGCGCTAAATTAAAACCCGGTGCTATAAAACCAAGGACCAAATATATTCACACAGTAACCAACTTACAGACAACAAAACAACGAGTCAGTATAAAATAATTTTCAACGCTCTGAACAAACACAAGAAGAGATTTCTGCAGGACAAGCTACTTTTCAATTGTGTTGTATTCCAGCACAGAGTCATATACAACAGGCTGTTCAATAGAGAAATTTAAGTTGAGAAACTAGTGACGGGCACACATACACACAAATGTACTTACAGCTGACAACAATAAGCTCCAAAAACATACATTTCAGTCCCAACAAAAGGTTCATGGTGAAACAATGGCGGAGAGCAGGTAAGTGATGCACAAAGTGTCTTTGTTGGCACTAAGATTCCTCTGAGGGAGAAAGGATCACATCAGCAAAGTGACTCGGGTTTCTTAGTTCCGATTTCCGTCTCCATGGTCACCATGCCATTGTACAATATAGGATTCATAAGGTGTCCTTTCCCACTCCAGCCTCATTCTGGCTTTGCATTACCCCCCACAGAACCTTACACCATGTTCCCTTACAGATATTTAAGAGACTCACTAAAAATAATTTACAACAACTTTCTCTTTCCTTCCCTTTTAGCACGAGCATCAAACTATAGTTACTGGTAAGAGGCTCTTATAGTGTCACATAAGGGTTTTGGTGCCACTCAGCTTCAATTCAGATGCATTGATGTTTTCTTAAAGAATTAACTCTTATTTTAAGTACAACCTCTCAATTGGAACTAGGCCTGGACTAGGCCACTCCAAACATACATAGTCTTGCTTACCTGTTTTGAAAGATATCATTCTGTTAGGCTTCAGATCATTGTCTTGTTTCACTAATGATACCACTAATGTATAGGTGGTTAATTTTAGAATTGTTTACATGATGCAGAATTTATCGTTCCTTCATTGATGGGAACTCGTTCAATGCTCTATTGCTAAGAGGTTTTTACTACGGGCTGCAGGGTTTGTCACATGATATACTGAGGCCCATATTGCCTGCAAAGTTCCACTCTTGATGAACCTTTCCAGAGAAAATGGAGGTATTTACTTGCTTCCCTCTGAGCCATTGTTCCTGTCTAGTTACTTGATGTATTGTTCAGTTACATTCTAATGGAATAATTATGAATGTTGAACGCTGGTCCCACCACCCCTCAAGGCACAAGGAAGACACACCTCCCGGCTCTTCTCTGTTCTGGCACCAAGTTGGTGGAATGAACTCCCCCTAGATGTCCGAA